AATAAGAAAAAACAGATTACAAGCTCTGGCAGAGGAAGTAAAGCTGTTAGCAGCCTGCACTCATTTCCTTGACTTTTGGAGAGGAGAAGGTTGAATTAACATTTCTCGCATGTTGTATCTGAAAAGCTCATTTGTTCAGGTAGTTAGGAACACCTTAGGAAAAGTCAACCTACAGAAAGGAGTAAAAGTGTCTTGCAGTCTGACCTTAATTTCCATTAGCATTAATGCTAAAAAGAAAGGAGAAACTTGCTTCTCTACAAGGCTACTGAAATAGATTACACTATAGGAATTGCTTAGGTGCCCAGCAGGTGCTACAAGTAGGGAATGCTAATTGCAAGTTTGTGCAGTGGCCTTGTGTTTTTTCTAGGGAGAGCAGCCTAGTTTTCCTTCAGAAGTGAGGAGGAGTCTTTGCTTGCGGGTTTAGGCCCTGCAAGAGTGCTGTGCACAAAGGGCCACGTCAGAAGCCTCTCCCCTCCTAAAGTAAGGAGGCTCCAAATCAAGTGTCTTCACTGCTCCCAAATAGTGTCAAGCAGCCCTCTGTGTTGTTTTCTTTCTACAAAAGATTTTAAAAAGTTTTAAATTTAAAAGCAACTTCTAAAACAGATGAAGCAGAACTATGATGTGTAGCAGTAAAGCAGATTAATGACTGGGCATTAGAGACAGGGCAAAATGATAATGTTCATTGTCAATAGATGTTTCCATCTAACTTATGTGATTTGAGCATTTGGAAAAGGCCTAAACTACACATAGAATTATGGTGAAAAAAAAACGCCTTTTCCTTGGCATATTCTTGGCATACTCTGTTGGTGTGCTCCACTCTCCAGTACACAAATTCTGTGGTTTCCTGATTTAAAGCAATAATAGATACTCACATTCTTTTCCTTCAAAATATTCTCTACTGTAGGTCAGGCCACCTCATCAGCAGTCAAAGTAGTATCTATTTTTCCCCACCATGGCGTTGTCAATCTCAAATATTTTAGCATACTCCTTACCATATTCCTCAGTGTTTGACGTTGCTTAATAAAACTCATATTTTTTTATATTTTATTCACTTATGTACTTTAAACCAATATAAAAAATACACAAACTCTTCTAGGAAGAGGGCATGCCAATGATCTTCAGTTTCACACATTTTACTCTAGTAACGGAACGATGTTTGTAGCACTAGATACCTAATACGCATTAACCAAAAAAAAAATCATGGAACTACTCACAATTCAAGCTATGCTTACTGATTTTTTCTAAAACTAATACTCTATTTATTGAATCTGTATATTCCTTGAATACACAGCCTGTAAAGGCAGAAGAGAGATGAAATCACCAGATTTGGGGTGGCTGGCAAGGACTGAGGTATGAATTTCTAAATCAGAGAGATTTAAAATAGCCTATATGCAACAATGGTTTTTAACCAGGGATATATCAAAATTTAAGATGTATAAAAGTACATTGTTTTCAGAATAATAAAAACATGTCATAAGATGCGATAAAAGATATCAAACAGGCTTAAATTCCAGTGGGTAAAAAAACAAAAGACATTTTTATTCGAAATAGAATTAAAACACATCTAAAATTAACACCAAGAAAAGGCCTGAAGACATCTCATCTCACCCCCAAAGAATAATGGAGGAAGAGACGTGTGTTTCAAGATATATATTTTTTAAATCAATTAACAAAGCAATACATCTCTCTCTTAAACTTCTCTTCTGGGATGGACAAAGTCTTAAAATGGATCCACCCTGTAAGTCACTTCTGGAGGAAACAGAGGCTTGTTTTCTTACAGTACAATCTATTTTTCCAGTATTTTTCCTTTATGAAATTCGACTTCATGTTGCTTAGCACCATTTACCTCCTCAGGTGTTACTACACCTAAATATATACGTGTAAGGCACCATTTCCAGTATGCCCACTGAATTTAACACAGGATTTACTCCTATGAAACACACTGATGTTCTATACAGTTGAGTTATAAATGTCCTAAACGAGACCATTTTTCAAGAGCACAGTTCTTAAAACAGTTCTTCCGTCTGCTTCCCCCCAGTTTATTTTTCTCGCAGATCAGTGTGATTTTTCCACAACCATATTCCGGCCCCCTGGATTATCCCTCCCTGCCATTGAAAACCACCTTTCCCTCTCCTTAGCGTCCCTGTGATTCAGGCTCCCACAGCCTCTCAAGGATCCTGTCGCTTCTTTCTCCATTAGGTGGCATTCCCTGGGCATATCCACAGCATTCACTGTTTTGCCTCTTATGTCTTAGCCTGTCTTTAATTGGCTTAACCAGGCTGGGGCCTAGTGCACGCAGCCAGCCCACAGCAGGCCTCCCTTGGAGTACTTATCGTGTGGTACTGACCACACGGGAAGTTTGTAAATCCCGGCACTTGTGAATGTATCGTTTTGATTGCTACCCACCTTCCCCCCCAAAAAAGGGCTCTTTGTCTGTGGCACTGCCAGCCGGACCCAGTGAACAGGAGGGAGGCAACATGGAGGGCTTGTGGCACTCCCTCTGCACGAAGGGCTGAGCACATGAATCATGACTTGGCAGCGGGCCGCGTAGCTGGCAGCGCAGCTTGGCCGCTCC